CAGATATAAAGCTTTCTTCAAAAATGAAAAAACAAGTTCTCTAAATACTGCAGAATTTTGTGCCTACAGGTCATGGTTGGTTTAAACAGTACATAAGGAAAAGCATAAAAGAGCAGGTATGCATACAAGAAAAGAAGCACTGACCTGCTGCAGCCTTTTCCTTGGCAGCTGCCCAAATAAATGCTGGTCTTAAGTAAACAACCTCATGGACTAGAAAACTTCTGAATTCATACATCAGGAAATAAATATTAGATGTGGCTGTTTGCCACCCCTTCTTAAATATGCCCACATAATCCTAAAATTATATCTGATGTACTTCTGTGATTAATTTTTGCATAAACAGAATATTTTGTGAGCAGAATTTTTAAGTTCCAACCACTTAAATTCCATCTTAAGTGCTAATGTGTATAAATAACTGATCTTCTGGAAATACTCAAGAGCACAGGAAAGGAAAGATATTTCAAATGACAACTTAAGCATGCTAATATGAACTGAAAATCAGTCAGAGAAGATGCACACTATTATTAGAGGTAGAGAGTGATCTCACATCACTGGAAAGTACCAGCTTTCCTAAAATGCAGTAAATAAAGCAGTAATTCAGTGTGAATGAAAAGAAGAAGTCTGAATAATAGAAAGTTTTATAAAAAGGTTCCCCTTTTTAAGGCCCCATTAACAGGATTTTCAGAGCTCTATGTAACACCATGATACATGTGCTTGAATCCTGCATATTCAAGATGCGTAAGGAAGAAACTTCTTTTGCTTTCCAATTTAAAATTATGAGAAAGTTGGATAAAATCTAGAAATAAACACATCTATTGATTCGGGACTTTTAAATATTTTGAATGACTACAAAAAGTCATCTGAAAAACTAGATATTTCTACCACAGGCTAAGGAAACCAGTTGGCAATTTTCCACACTTCATCTGATCACAACTACAGGTTACATGATGGGTCTCACAGCTGAGTCCAGAGTCCATGGGAAGCAGGACAAGAACTTCCAGAGAGCAAGTCATTCCACACCTAATACTTCCTCTAGCACTGGATTCAGTACTGGGAGGTACTTAGCCATTTTCATGAGCTGCACAGGGGTCTGAGACACTAATCTGCACCACCTCCTCACCTCCAGATGACTCAAGTTTGGCAAAGTGAGCTTTAACAGTAGTGGGTAACTTGCACTTTTATTCAAATCACACAATGGTATTAATCTGATTTATATTTTGAGCTCATTAGACTAGAAACTATTCCAAGGCCTGAGAAAGAACTCAGCACTCAGTATTTATTTACTAATATTCACTACCCCCCCCCAAAATTTCCTTTTCTTCATAATGGATTTTCATTGAAAGCTTTCACTTACAGCTTGTCTTATGAACAGCAGATAAATGCAGAGTAAAAATATTGGAGTAAATAACAATACCCTCTTCAGTACTAAAAAGATGAAGAAATTTTAGCTTCTGATGTTGTTTATGATGTTACTTCAGTGACTGGAACCTTTTTATTTAAATTTCGCTGACAATTCTCTAGGTGGTCATGTTGGTCCAAACCCAGAGGTGTATTTCCACCATTTCAACATGTATTTGATGTAAGAGCAAATGGTCAAAGAATTCCCAAGAAGAACAACAGAAAAACAAACACACAAGTTGTAGAATGCTTTCTTGTGAGTAGAAATGGATCCAGTGCTTAGTAGAGCAGCCAGGTACTTGGGCTCTCTAAAAATAGCTAGCAAAATTGCAGAGTGACAGCAGCTGAAACGTCTGGTCAGCACATACACAGATCTTCTACAATGAAGTATGATGAACATCAGCCAGTGATCTTGCTGTCTTCTGACACCAAAAGGGCTTTGATCAAAACTAGAAATAGGCCCACAACAGTGCAAAGCACCCGAGGCACTTCTAGCAAAGCCAGTAAATTGACATGGAACTCTTTCGTTATACAACACCAGAGTTTCAAGATGAAATATCTGTCTAGGTAAAAGTCCTCTGCACTGAAAGAATGGTAAAAATCTCTTTTCCCCACCAAGAATATTAAAGATGCACTAAGTTAATTTACTTGTTCTCAGTGAAAGAGGAGAGGGAGAGGGAGAAGGAGAGGGAGAGGGAGAGGAGAAACTAGGAGGGTATGTGGGAAGGCTCAATTCTTAGCACCTGACAGGAATTCAAAGAATATTTGGAGACATGGAAATGCTTCAGAGAAAAGCTGTGGCTCAGTGAGAGAAGTGGAACATATAAATCTTTTTCTTCCATGAAAAAATATTTATTTCTATAAAATAAGAATAAGTTCTTATTTCATCACCACATTCTAGTGAATCATCATTCACATGCATTTATTATTTTCTCTTACCCTTCCAAAATACCCTTCTGCATAAAGATATTGGAAAGTGCACAGCACATTCAAGAAGCATAAAGGGACCTTACTATGACAAATTTGTGAGTACATATGTCCTCCTAGCAGAGGGAAAGCAAGTATTTCAGTGAGATGTTACACTTTTTTTGTTGTTATTTATTTCTTTGAATAATTGATTAAGCTTAGCCACTCACCAAAAACCTTTTGGGTACTGTGTTGTTTCTATACCAGCAAGACAGCCTGCATGGAATTTACTGAAAATGAGATTTGTCTCTGAAAGACAGCCCCTCGTTTGCTTAGACTGTCCTGCTCCACAGTTGTAAAGTGTTGTTGCTACGTCTGCAACATTGCTACTGCCTCAGCCTGAGAGCTGCTCCTGGATGAGACAGGGAATTCCATTTTAAAAATATAAAATAAAAAAGTATATTTATAGAAGCAAGGCTGACAAGGGGAGGGGGAGGGTATGGAGTGAAGTAGAGAACAGGGAACGAGCACTCATGCTTGAAACCCCTTGCTTGTGCAATAATGAGCTTGAAAGCCTTGCTGAAGTGGTTTTACAGCTGTGCAACAAAATGGTGCACTCTCCTCCCTTAATACTGACATTTTAATGTAGGATCACAGCTATTCAGATTGTCCATTGGAGCTGGCAGGCTGATGGTGTGAGCAACTACGCACTCTCATCAATGTCGCTTGGATGAAAGCTGCTGTCAGGCTCAATAAAATGGCAGGCTAGGCCAATCTGGCACACATGAAAGGAAACTGGAAGAAAGGCTTAATTGCACCTCCAGCAGATTCCAGTTATTCTGCTGGTCTGTTAACAACACGCAGCCTGGCACGCCAGTCCTGTCCAGTCTGCTGTGCTGCGCTGGTAGGAAAAACTCCTTGAAGGTATGGCACAAATACACTCTGGGTTAGACCACCACAACCCAAGCCAAAGAGGTCACAAGTCATCTCAGCCGGTTAGCAGCAGCTGCTGTATCCAGCAAAACACTGAGAACAGGGAAAGAATCCCTAAAACAAAGAGTTGAGTAGGTTCATGGTTGAGGGACCAGCACAGGCTCCACTAGAAGTGGGGAGATTCCACAAGATGGGCTAGGCACTCTTCTGAGACATCTCAGGGAAGATCTAGTAGGAAAAGTACACATTAGAGAGGGACATTAAGCCAAAAGAGAGGGAGAAGAGGTATGGACTGATGACACTGAATACTGTGGCATTCACTCTGTGCAGAATACTGGATGGCATCAAGGATGGAGAAACTAAGCATTTGTGTCTTTCATCTAATGGTAGGGGACTGAGGAAGAGCAAGAGACTGGGTTTTATTAATTTTCTAATTTTTGTTCAGTGGTCGTGGTGGTCATGACCTGCTGTTGGAATGCAAAAAAATCTTTTCCGCTCATGGGGGGAAGGGAACAAGGAAGAAAAATATACTGGATACAAATATCTTTCCTAAAGATAAGGAGCAACAAACCCTTAAAGCCAAATTTTTCCTCTTAAATGGGACTGAGATAATGGGAAGTAATGAGACACCTCTGGACATCTCTTGCTAGCATAGCAATGTGAAACTAAGGAAAGAAATGCTCTAATTTAACAAAAAGAAAAAAAAAAAAAAAAAAAAAAAAAAAGGTTTCATACGTGCAAGATGAGGCAGAATTACTCATTTTTTTATAGATCAGCAGCAGGTGGCCACAGGGTAAAATATTCAGTCCATCCATTCAGTCTGTCTTGGAAAGTGTATGAGGATGACATGATTTCTTAGTATTTTTATTTCTTGCTATTTTTTTAATTTTACTTGCAGGCATGTTCAAAGACCTCATATAACAGATCCAAGACTGCAATTTTATTACTTTTTGAAGCATGATAAAAAGGAATTGCTCCGAACAAATATTAACATTTTCTATAGAGTTATTCTTTTGTAGCGCAATCTAGAATTACTCAAGAATATTATGTACTGTACACTGAGGAAAAAGAATATATCCCTGTCTTGTGATAAATCAAATTTCAGTTGCACAAACCCTTACATTTCTAAGTCTGGATCACAGCCCTTACTGTCACCTATACTTTGTGCTCTTTTACTATCTGAGGATGAATGGATCTTCTTACTGTTAGGCACCCAGTACCTACACAACCAGGTAGGAGAGGCACTGTGGTCATCAGTGTTGAAATTACTCCTATTTCTGGAACCCTCTGCATAGTAAATTTGAGCAAATGAACTCAGTAGCTCATCCATATAATGACCTGCCAAAACCAGAGAGCACAGTAACTTCCCACAGGACACGAATAACTAGAAAGCTGCAAATGCTCCTTCTGTCAGCCTGACAGAAATAAGGAGAAATTCTTATTCCTTCCTTAAAGAGCAGCCTTTCTGTTTAAGTTGGAGTCTCCCAAGCTTATATATGTTAAAGAGCCAAGTTGCCTCAGCTTATGATCCTTAAGATCACAGTTATAAAGAAATTAGACCAAGGAGGCTGTAATTTTTCAGCACTCAGTAGCAGAGTAGGCTGTTTATGAGAAATTTGGTTTGGATAAGTAATTCTTGTAGGAAACTTGTAATTCTGCCCTGCCTATTTTCTTTCTCCAAAGTACATTATGGTTCACCAGATCAAACAGTGATGTCATGCATATATCTGGATCTGGGGATGCTGAAACAATACACACATTACCTTGAGAACATGGAATAGAGGGTTCCACTGCTTCAAAGTGTATTTAGCACTTGGGATAATTTCCCAGAGATCCAGGCTTGGAATCATGTTTTGAGGGGTTGAAAATACACAGATCAGAATTTTTGCAGCAGGCTTGTGTCTACTGAGGAGTTTAAAGCTTGGCAGCATTGCAACAGATATTAAAAATACATGAAGCTTCCTTTAATGTAAAGTCCTCTGATGGTAAAGTGGACGGGCATTAAAATGGCCAAAGCCATTCCCTTCAGATGATTTCTGGAAAGAAATGCATACTTAACTCAGTTGCATATGACACAAATATTCATCACCCTAAAAATTACACAGGGATCAATAAAAAATGGAAAAACTTCATACACATATCCTTTCCTAATTGAAAAGCTTTACATGACCATTGCAACAGGAATAATATACCCAGATTTGACCTACTTCAAAATAAAATAAAATAAAAATTATTTTTATGGCTGTTTGTATCACGGTATATACTTGTTTCCTTGAAGATAGCTTTATAAAAAATATAGCTATTTCTTGCGAGCATTTTGATCCAAGAGAAAAGTTTCATCCTTCAATAGTGCACATAATAGAATTGGTCAGATTTGAAGCATGGGAGCACTTTTTTATCTTGGATCTTTAATATTTTACAGTTCAGGCAACAGAATTTAACCAAACCATTGGAGATATAACTAATAAGCTCTCCCCACACACAAAACTTACAGAATAGCCTTCATTTTGTTTCTTGCTTTCCTAATTTACATGTAGTAAGAATATGGTTTAAATAAGACATAAAATTTGCATTCTCATTTAATTATCTCCTGAGACAATTAATGTCCCTGAAAAATTTCAATATTTTGGCCACAAAACAGATTTAATAAGAACAGGAGTGGCAGCCCTAAAGTCAAGAGAAAGGTCTATTAAATCAGTAACCCTACTGATTTAAATAGGACTAGGACTGCACCCTGTGACTTTACGGATACTTATCATGCAAATTTCCAGAACATCCTAGTAAGCTTTTCATTCTAAGGCACTTACAAGGTTCTGCCTCCAACGAGCTGTTTCCCAGGGATGCACATGTCACTCACACTTAAACCTCGTCTCTATCCTAAACCTACTGGGCTCTAGAACAAGATGAGAGCTTGGATCACATAACACTGCTCCAAATCTCTTAAAATTATGAAATTATGCTGAAAATTTTAGGAGAATGGGTCTGTTTAAAATATTTTAATGCTATCTTTCACCATTTCTATAGCAAAATATTAATTTTAGATCTTAACACATATCTCTTGTCAGAATTTTTTATTTTTATTTTCTATGCCAACAACATTACATATATCTTTCTAACTCACAACATACTTTGACGTTCAGTCTTCAGAGACACAGAATCATGCATTTTTTTCTTTCTTTTTGGTTGACAAAACTGCCTTATAAATAGAGCTTTCACGACCAAGAGGAAAGTCCTGTAAAACCAAGTGATAACGAATATGATATTTTAATGGTTTAGTTTAAAATGTTCTGTTTTAAGATTTGTTTAAGATAATGCTAGGAACTGACCAGTCACCAAATGTAACAGGCAAGGTAAGGCAAATGAAGCGTAGAATTCAAGGATGTACAATAATTATCAAGCTAGGACTCATCATACACAAAGCTAATGGCTGAAAAATTAGATTTATGGTTTAAGCTAACTTAGACTTCCTCTAGAGCAAACAGAGAAACTAAATTTCAGTGGGCAATTCCTCTCACTCTAAAATGGTTTCTGAAAATTAGATCAATTGCCTTCTGAAGTGCCAGTCTCTAACCAGTGACTACTGCTGGCCTCGAGACATCTAAGTTAGAGTGGGTATCTATCTTCTGACCAGCTACTGACACCTCCACTCGCTAAACTGCACATCAAAGTTAGTAGGAATACAATGCTATACAATACAATGTACAATGCTACACAATACAATACAATGTAGGAGCCTGGATGTCCTGGTTTAGAAATGTCTGCACCTCTAACAGAGACACAAAGTAATAGCGATGCTGAGAGAAGCTCATGCACACTTGTGGGGAAGTTTTGGTGAGAGGCACTTGCAGTAGCTGGCTGCTGGCTGACTCCAGTGAGTTGCATGTCAAGAAAGCAAGTCATCGACAGGTGACAACAAAACTGATCCAACAGGTAATCCCTGAGGAAACATATATCCAGCAGGGAAACAGGACAGCAAGGAAAACCATTTTTTTGGTACAGGATGAGCAAAGTACCTCAAACTTGTGCTGTAACCACTTCAGTTTGCTCCTGTTGTTCCTATCTGGAAAATCGGTTTCTTCTGCTGTAGTTTCCTGCCTCCTGATGACAATAGAGAGAACATATACTCAGTATTTAATGACGAGAAGCTGCAGCGCATACTAATGGTGCCATAGCTTCTAATATCATCCAATATCCCCTGCTGGCTTTGCAATTACATACACATGGAGCAGGGAAGTGGCATGTGGCACTCCCGGTGAGGATAAGCAGGTGTCTAGAATTACCTACTGACATCTCTCAGAGGAAGAAGGTAAGTGTGAGTTAACTGACCCCACACACAGCTCTGAATGCCTTGGGGTCCCTAATGGCAAAGGCTGATGTTGGAATAAGGGGAGTCTGGTCTGTATGTCTGAATGACTACCCTAAATTCCCTTCCCCCTCTCCTGGTCAGGAGGACTCTCCTTATACCCAAGCCAAAAACAAATGTTTTGTCATCCACTATTGCACCCAGTGTAAAGGTATTTAATCAGAGCATATTTAACAATAATAATCAAAGCATATGTAATCAGGGTCTTCATCTTCAGTTTATGGTATTCCCTTCCACTGAATTATACATGTAGTAGTATGTAGTTCAGGAGAAACAGAAGTGTTCTCACATTGGGATTGGGAAGATAATTTTATTTCTCCTGTGTACTTTTTCCCTTATACAGAAAAAGAAAATAACAAATGGACAGAGAGACTTTTTAAGAAGGTTTTAATTGTTTCTAGGGTTAACAAACCAACAATATTTTGTGTCTCTGCTGTTATTTAATGCTGCAACCTGTACTAGATTAAATTACATGGCAGAGTACTACAGTGTATTGGACAGCAGGCAAACAACACACTACGCTCTACTCATTACTGTGCCCTTGACTAAGTATGTGAATTTGAGTGCACCTCCATTCTATAGAATCCTATATCCTATAAAGAATATTGATTCCTGTTTAAAGACTAAGTTATCAAGACCAGGCTTCTTCCTTAATTCTATAAGGAAATACATGGCTGGGTCACTTTTTTTCTTTTGGTTTTCACTGAAAGTCAAATGACCTTGGGTGTTGTTCTTTTTAACACTCTCAGGGCCAAAGTTGTTAGCTTTTTAGATTTCACACACACACACAAAAATATTGACTAAATTTTTAAAAACTCACTGAGACTGAAATGTGCTTATTCACATACATGCATGCCTATATGAGTGTACCTATTCTATAAGTGTTACTATCTGAGACAGAGAGGAAGAAGGAGAAGGAGAGAGAGATGACAGCATGTCTTTGGTAGTCATTACTACTGCATTACTCCTTCATACAAGCATTACTTTTTACTCCTGAACCTGTGAGTTTCAGGGAGCCTCAAATTTCATTAAACACCATGTTTCCATTTTGGCACGAGAGCAGAAAAACCAAATCGTGAACTAAGCAATTTGTTTGGATATGTCTCACCAAAGCGAGAGCTGGGGATCTGTGAAACCAGAGTTTCCTCTGAGTGACCTGGTTGCTTTCTTCTCTTCGAGCTGTAAGATTCTCTAACTCTGCTAACTTTTCAATTCGTTAATGTCTTGAGTCCAGGGAGAGAGGAGGGAGTTTGCCATGAAAACCGGCACAGGTCACCGCGTTGAGATGAAAGACGTTGTTGAAGGCAAGCACCTGCCCGGGTGTTGGCGTGGAGATGGATGATGAATTGAACACTGCCACCTTTTGGCTGTGGCCACGGCCAGGGAGTTGCGAGGAGGTGATTTTTGCCAGACTTCCTTCTAGAGCGGGCTGGGCATCTGGCAAAAGCACCCTTTCATGCCAAAGCAAGGTTGAAGCACTCCCTACTACCGCCCATGTTAGCGCACACCATGTTGCTATCACGTAACTTAGATTTCACCCCTTATCTGCGAGGTCCTCGGAACTGAGAAGATGGGCTAATAATACGAAGAGCTGTTAGCTTTACTAAAGACTAAGTGCAATCAAGTTGATGTAAACAGTCACTTCAGCCTGACTGTGGTACACTCTTCCTGCCTCAGGAATACTTGAGAGTATCTCGCATTGTGTTGTACTGAAATAGTGTTTTCTCAAGCGGTGAATTATATACAGTTTCTACTTCAACCTCTTTTGAGCACTTAGCTGTGAATGTTTGTATCAGTGCCAGTGAGTGTGAGGTGATCTCATTAGAAAGAGAAAGAAAATACTATCAGCGACAGAGTTTTTTCCTAGTGATTAAATGACAAACTCTTATTCACATGCTACGTCTGTAGTTCTTACGTAGGTGTAAAAAAAAAAAAAAACACAACAAAAAAACCCCAAAACAAACCACCCTCAAAGTGCGTCGCTTTGCCGAGGTGCCCAAAGTGCGGAGCTTCTCGGTGCTTCATCGAGGCACGATCACCGTGTGTTCTCCCCACGCAAATATCACAACCCACACAAGTCTGGGCCCTCGCCTCACACCCCCTCCCGCCCCCGTTGTACTGTACGGGCAAAACCCCGTTTGCTCAGAGAATGAACAGCTCCGGCCAGAATGTCCGTCCCCGGGGACCTTAGCGGGGCCGGGCTTTCACCTCCACTTTCTCACCGAACTCTTCACCTTTGTGAACCTAAAATATGCGGCTCTGAGGGAGGATGCAGGTGGAAGGGCATTCCCCGTGCAAACCCCGGGTGCTCTAGCAGCCCAGCGCGGCCTGGCTCGGGTGCCGCTGCCCCTGCTGGGGCTCGCGTTGCCCGGCAACGGGGAGCCCCGGCCCGCCCGCTTCCCCCGG